AAAGGAAAAGGGAATGAGAAGCAGTTTCCCCACCAAAGGAAGGACACTCTCAGAAGTTTAAAATACAGCCAGAAAAAACTTAGGGTTAAACAATAAACTAGGAAAAGTGCTGTCCTGTGGAACAGAGAGCAGTTTCCACTGCATTGAGAACCCGCCAATATATATCATATCAATAAAAAGGAGCTCTTCGAAAGCTTGCATAGTAATTGAGATTGGAGATCTTTTTTGATATGGGTTGGCATTTCCTCATATCAATCTGACAGAGCCAACTCAGGAAATTGCTGGTAATATTCATCTGGGGAGCAGTTTCATTAAACGTAATTCATTCGACTTTCACAATAAATTGAGTGACATCCTTACAGCAGAACCTTTTTATCCTTGATGAAGTGCTTGCCAGCCTTTGGTTTTCCACTTTATTGTCACATTCCTTAAAGCAGAATCGTCAACATGTCAATCTGCTGCATGAAAAAAATGCTAAAGCTGTATTTACAAAGCACCCAGGAGGTGGTTTAATGCTGACTTATAAGAAGAGCGAGTTGAGAGTTAAACTATCTGATAAATCACAGCATAACTTCACCCAAGCCCAATCGAGAGAACAGAAGCCAATCCTAGAGAGGGAAGGATGGCTCACACATTCATTTTCTCCAAGTGCTGGCTATTCCGAGCAATTGGTTTCTTAACCTGCTTCACCGCACTTTCCAAGACGACTGGGAAATTGGCTTTTTGTTAATTAAAATGGCGGTTTAGAGATGCAGGGATATATTAAAGGGCTTAAAATGGATACCTCTAAGTACCACCTTGGAAGTTTTGGGCTATTCAAAGGGGAGGGGATACTGGATTCTATTCAGGTGCCTCCCTGAAAGGTGAAAACTACTGGGAACTGCCTCCTCCAGAGATGAAAACAGCATGTGCTAAGCAGCAGGAAAATAAATTTCAGAGCAGAGGAAACCCTCCTTAAGCTCCTAGAACGGTTCTTGTGGTTGGGAAAGAAGGAAGCGTGCAAAAAGAATAAAGTAAAAAAATGCATCACTGTGTGCCTAACAGAAAACTAGAGCACAGAGAAGTTTACTTCACCAGGTGCAAGTGATTCGAGACCGATTTCTACTCCCGTGCCCCATCTTCCGAAAGAGTGACTATTTCCCCTACACCACTGCAAATGCGTCCCAAACTCCTTTAAAGAGGGGGGAGCGAGACTGTCACAGGAACATGTCAACTCCCCAGCACAAAAAGCCACTTCTCTCCCCCAGTCCCCGCCAAGCTCTCTCCCCCCTCCACGCCTCGGACGTCAAATTGAAAAATGTAAGAAATCGCTTGTTTGGAAAAAATAAAAAGCAATAGCCGAATGCTTTCAGCACCGAATGCCTCTGAGAAAATACTGTGGGTGGTGATTATGACAGGACAATACCTTCCCTCTCTTTTGTTTTTGTTTTGTTTTCTTTTCTTTTATCTTCGCTGCCTGTAGAGCTGTTGTTTTTTTTTCCCTCCCACATCAAAGCAGGACGCAATCAGCAACTATCTTAAAAAATGGAAAAAAAAAAAAAAAATCAACTTATCTTCGCAGCACGTGATATCTCTTCACGTTCTCCATAGCTTTCATTAACTGGGGTGAAATGACCGCAAACAGTGCGACACAGAGCGAAATTAAATGTACACAAACTGCAGAGCCTCCAACCCCCCGCTTACCCCCTCAGCAAACACCGCACCGAGCGTGCCACCGCTGAGAACAATTGGAAACAGCTCTTCTTCGCGACATTTTTGCAGGAGAGCCCCGCTCAGCTGTCGGAAGGCCTCCAATCGGTGTGGAACGGACCTTAAAATCCCACCGACACGAGAGGAGGTTCGCAGGCTTTTTGCAGATACCAATGCCGTCGCCCTGTAAAACACTGAGCCCAGAAAAAGCTCCCCCGCGGAGCAACCTCCTCGCAGCCCACGTCGGGGGTGCGTGTGGGGGTGGGGGGAATCATGATTTGCCCTTGTTCCGTTTAAGTGCTGTACGGAGGAAAATCTCCCTACCAGACAACGCTTGTGTCGAGCCTAATTGACAAACCCGCTGCTTCGGGCAGAGAGCAGGGTGGGTGATCCCAGCAGAAGACGTGCGAGCTGCTGTTCCTTCCTCTCAAGGGGTGGGAGGCTGTCCCCGGTGTCTGCGGTGTGGCAGAGCCGGGAGGGCGGCGGGCCCGCAAGCAGCGGGCGGTGCGGGATGTCGCGCTGAGGGCGGCAGACGGGGCCAGAGCTGCCCCTGCCGGGAACCCGCCGGGCCCCGCTCGCACCGAGTGGCTCCGTGCAGCCTGTGGGAACGGTCTGCCTCGGCCTTTTGGCCCGTTCCGGAGGTGACCCGCCGAGAAACAAGTGGTTGGGAGCTTTGCCGGCTTCGCCAGCAGCTTTGCTGTGCGTTTTGTAGTCACTTCTGCAGCACGTTGCTTCTACCCCGGGAAGAAGAAAGTAAGGAAGAAGGAAATAAAAGCGGGAAAAGACAGCATGGAGTTTTATTTTGCTGTGGTGTCAGGCAGAAAATTCACCATCAGCTAAGTGGGAATTAAACGAGAAGGTTTCAATGAAAGGAATAGTGTGGGACGCTGGTGTCCTTATGCACAGACAGAAGTGAAATCCAAAAAGAAGGGGAAAAAGTCTCCAGTCTCCGAGTGGGTTTTTCTCTCTAAATATTTGCATGCTTCCTCAATGACAGTTTTGAGCTGGGCGCAGCGCTGATAGCTGAGAAAACATTACTCATTAAAATACTACCGAGATGCTTTAGAAAGGACAGCGAGCTGTCTCGGGGTAAATCCATCCGAGTGTGGCATTTTGAATACTTTGTGCAGCTCTCTAAATCTGAGGGAACAAAATCACTGCGGCCCGTGGAGATTAACTCCTAATTCTACCGCATAAATACAGAGCCACCCGTTTAGGCCAAAGGCAGCGCGCTTCCCGTGCAAATCAAATGTAATATTTGCACTACACCGTGTAGCTCAGAACAAGGAGAAAACACATGTCTTGCACAGGCTACTTAATGTTCTTATCAATAAGCATAATACAGCCAAGCAAAATTCCCACTCATTGCGGTCAGTCGTGACCTCTATAAATCCCAGGCAATAAGGCGGAATGGCATACGGCTCTATTAAAAGGAGGGAGGGAAAGCAGAAGCACTTCTCTGTCTTTTTTTTTTTTTTTTTTTTTTTTACCCTAAGATTTCATTAGGAAAAGGTTGAACGGTGGAAGAAGAGCAGAGCAGTTCGACGGGTCGGGGGGGGGTCACACAGCGGCAGTGCTGTAACGGGGAGGCTCGGGGCGTTCGCTGAATGCCGCCGGTTTTGGGAGGGGGGGACGGCTGTCCTCTCGCCCACAGACGGTCCTGCCACAAACTCGGTGGGAAGCTGATTGCGTCGTCATTTCGTTTACCCTTCCTAACAGGTTGGGCACAGGTAATCTAATTCCGAACTGAATCCAAGCAGAGGGACACCGAGAGAGAACACCGAGCGCTGCTGCGTGGCGCTGCGGGTAGAACTCGGCGCTTCCACGCGATCACTTTATCACTGCGAGGGCCCAACGCGAACTTTCCGACTGACTCCTGGATGCAGAGAGGGGGGAGAGGGGCCGGCATCTCCGAGCGGGGACCGACTGACAGCGGGAGAGGAGCCGACGGGACAGGGAATCACTCCGCACTCCCTTGGGCGTTCCGGCCGAGGAGCGCACCCCCCCTCCCCCTGTTTGCCTTTTATTCCCGATTTTTTTTTTCTATATTCTCATTGTTTCAAAGGAAACTAAAAAAAATGTATATCGTCTCCTTTGCTCACTGATGCCAAGCCCGTAAAAAAAAAAAAAAAAAAAAAAAAGCATTCAGGTAATGAAGTCTGTAACTAAACGGTAATTGAATCAGCATAATTTGCACACTGAATGGTTTTCAAATGCTCCCAGTTTACAATTAAAGGAGAATTAATGCGCTTGTTGTTCAGACTGCTGCGCATTAGAATAAATCCAGCGCTGTTGTTGTAATGAGTCGAGAGCAGTTTAACTGCCAGCAAACACATTTAAAATTTAACACGACGTATCGATCTCGCTCCGGTACTTTGATGGATTGTTCGCCGCGCGCTTTTTTCCCGGCTCTCCCCACCCCTCCGCCACAAACTGGCGGGAGGCGACGCCCAGGGATGGAGGACGGCCGGATGGCGCGGGACGGGCGCGGGCCCCGGAGCTGCGCGGCCGCGGGAGAAGAGCGCGCGCGGACCCGCCGAGCCCCGCGCCCGCCTGCGATTGGCTGCCCCGCGTCGGCTGCGCCGCGCAGAGCTGCACCGCAGCGCCCCCATGCGGCGAGGGAGCGCCAACGCAGGCAGACGCGGAACGGGGAGCGCCGCCGCCCCCGCCTCCGCCGCCCCGCAGCCGCCGCCGGAGCCGCGGCCGGAGCCTTCCGCGCACGGGAGTCGGGGTCTTTCGGCGGCTGCCGCTGGCCGACGGTCTCTTCCTTCCCCTCCGCCCCAGGGATGAACTACCGCCCGGCGTTCTCCCGCTGAAAGCACCGCAGGCAGCGGTGCGGGCTGCAGGGAGCAGCCTGCCTGGTTTTGTTCCTTGCGATTGCGAACGGAGCGAAGTGTGCGCTAACGGAGATAACGCCTCTGTGTACCCGCGTTCCCCCGGGAATCCTAAGGGAGGTTCGCCACGGAACTCAGCGGCGCTTCACGCGAGGGCACTCGCTGTGCCGGCGCCGGGGCTGCCGAGAGGTGGGGCACGAAGTTGTTCGGGTCCCGAGCCCGAACGGGAGCCCCGCGGCAGCCCCGCAGGCACCGGGCGCCCCGGCCGGGAGGTGGCACCGGGACCCCGCGTCCGCTGCCCCCTGGCTGCGCGGCCCTTCCCCGGGGAGAGAAGTTCCGGCCGTGCCCTCCGCTCCTCCGCCGGGAGCCGCCCGCAGAGCCCCGCGCCCCTCCGGCCCTGCCCCGCCGCGGGCTGCCGGCAGCTGCCGTGAGTTTGTTGGTTCTCCGGCGCTCCCCGCTGCCGGCCCGTGCACTCACCAAGTAGAGGGTGGGCTGCAGCAGGAGGACCGCGCACCAGTACACAGCCTGCATCCTCGCCGCTCAAACTTCCCCCGCGCTGCCTTCGCTGCCTCTTTGTTCCTCGCAGAACATAGATCCACCTGACATCCACTTTACGGAACAAGCGGAGCTCTCACCAGCCTAGACAAAAATGAAATTATAGACCTCATGACCACAAGACAACGTTAGGTTCGAGACAAGGGGGGATGAGAGGTGTGTAGGGAAGGGGGGGCGGGGGAGAAGAAGGAGACGGGGTGTGTGGATGGGGGTGGAGGGAACGGAAAACGATTAAAATCTAATTAATCCGGCGGCAGAGCGGAGTGACCGCCCGGTCCGGGCTGGCTGCGGAGCGCCCGGCGGCTGCGCTCCCCGTGTCGGAGGCGGGGTGGGGAGCCCCGTAGTGCGGCCGGGACGGCCCGGGGGTGCCACAGCCAGCCCTGCGCGCCCGCCTTCGGCGGGGGCCGGCGCAGCGGACAAGAGCAGGAGGTGCGGGGAGCGGGGTTCTGGCTGCTCCCCCGGGGCGAAGAGCATCATCGCCGGGCCCACCGGGCAGCTCCGAGACCCCCCACGCGCCCAAGCGCCCACATCCCTCCTCTCGCCTCTCCGTGCCTCGCTCCGTGTCGGGGCCGCGCCCCGGAGCGCCCCGACGGGCGCTGCCCCCCAGACCCGGCCCCAGCCCTCCTCCGGCCCCGCACCCCGCGGGGGGGCCGCGGCGGGGATACGTACGGCATGGGGGATCCGACGGCTCCGCGGGGCGCTCCATGGGCGAGCCTAGAGGGGCCGAGCGCCGCGGCGCAGCCCCACGCCCCTGCGCATCTCCTCGCCGCGCTCCGCGCCGGGCTGTCCCGCGGCCGCTGGGCATCCGGCGCAGGCACTGGCGGGGCGGCCGGCGGGCTCTCCCCCCCCTCCGCCTCCCCTTCTCCGCACACAGTCGCGCACGGCTCCGCCGAGCAGGAGGACACTTACGGGAGGAGGGAGCTGCCCCGGCTGCCCGCACGCTTTCGGCGGGGGGCGCGGGCAGGAGCGGCGACAGCGGCGCTCCGGGGCGTCCAGGGCGATTTGTCTCTATTAGAAATGACTTATTGGCGAGGGAACGGCGAGCGCCCGCTATTTAACTTCAGATAAAATCTATCTGCAAAGACCTTGGCCGATCATCTTAAAATAAAGCGCCGGAGCCGAGCGCTGTCCGAGCCTCACTGCTTGGGGAGTGAGAAAGAGCGGCGGAGGGGGGAGGAGGGGGAGGCTGGTTCGGCGGAGGGGGGAAGGGAGGAGGGAGGAAGGGGAGTTCAGCGGCGTCCCATCCTCTCCTCTGCACGGGGTGATGAAGCAGAGCCCTCCCCGAGCGAGCCGTGCGCTGCCTGCCGCGCCCGCGCTGCCCGCCGCGCTGCTGCCCTGCCCGGCGCCTGCGGAGCTCCTCGGCCTCTTCTCTTTCCCTTCAGTTTTTCCTCTACCCGCGGGGGTGTCCCGTGCAGCCGCGGAGCCGCTCAGCCTGCAGACCGAGCTGGGTGACGGCTGCGGGAGCCGAGCTCCGGGATTAAAGGAACGCTTTCCCCCCGCCGGCAGAAACCTGTGGCTGGGCAGCCCCTCGGAGGGAGGCTGGAAGGCGCATCCCTGCCCGGTGCTGCGGCGAATCCCGCCGGCTGTCATTCAAGGAGAAAGGTCTCATCGACCTTGCTTTCCTTCTTCTTCACAAGTCCTCCGGGTTCTTTTCCTGCCCTCTTCCACACACTCTCCCCCCCATCCCCCCCCTCCCCAGCCCATGTCTTACCAATGTGACATTGGGACAGGGTGAAGGGGAGGACACCAACAGCACAGGGCAGCCTTCCCAGATCCCCAGCCTCGATAGCAAAGCTCAGATTTATCACCTCCCAAAGGGGAACCAAGAAGCAAGCTAGCAAGCTGCACAGAGCAGGGAACTGGAGGGAGGGAAGACTTCAGCTGTCCTGCCAAATCCTTGCTTCTCTCAGAGCATGTCCTTGTACTTAGCATTTGCAATCTGAGGCTTGAGGACTGATCTGTAAAATACTGTTTTAATCTTGGGCCCTGAGTTTGGAACGCTAATACAGAAGGGGAGTGGGCAAGGTGGTGAATCCCCTCTGGAAGAGCTGCACCATAGTTCCCCCCATGGCCATTCCCGCTCCAGACACCTGGAAGACGGACACTTCCATATGGCTCCAGCACCAGCTCTCTGTCAGACATGTGGGACGCTCACGTCACGGCTTTGAACAGAAGCATGCAGCCTGCAAGGAATCGTGCTGTCATTCTGCCCCTCAGACAGCCCTTGTAATACCGTGCAGGCTCCAGCAGCCTGGGGACTTCTTGTTTCAAAGGGGTAACAAATCAAAAATTACAGCTGACTTATCCTTAGTGCCAACAACCATCTTCCTATCTTTTCAACGCCTGTTTTCTTATAAGTTGAGAGGCTTTGTCTGCATTTAGTACACAATCTACAGATAGAAAGAGAAATGGTCCTCTCATAGCACACAACAAACTTGCCATCAGCTGAGTGGAGCCCACGGATTATCTGTGCTATGGGTCTTTGCAAGATGCTGCTGCTATGTATGTAGACCCAGCATAGTTACTCTTACCTTAGATATGAGACTGCCAGGTTCATGTAGAACAGGAGGAGCAAATGCAAAGTCTGACTGATAGCCAGGAGCACGTTGCTGAGGAAGGTATAGCCTCCTCCAAGAAGAAACTATCTTTTCTGCAGCCTGCACAGCTTGATTCAGCCTCTCCAAGACTGGATCGTTAGTGTCTTCATATCAGAAGTGGTATGAAAGTGGACCTTGGAGAGGAATTCTTTCTTTGGCTAGGTGAATTAAGGTCTCTTCAGTCTTTCTCACCTAGATCCTCGTATCCCAGTTAGATGAGCTCTGCAGTGGAACCCTGGGGCTCCATTGGAATCACAAGCGTGGCTCCTCTTTATTTCAGCTCACTGAAATCCCCTCCCCCTGGAAACTCAGTGAGGTCTACTGTGAACAAGCCTGTATGTTGTCTAACTGAGGCATCAGAAGGCTCTTGAGGTAAAGGTCTTAAGAGGGAGTGAATCTATTTCCTAACAGGCAGGGACTGACCCAAGGCTTCACTGTGGGCTTTCTCACTTCAGCTGACCTCCCCACCCGAGCTCCTTAACTACAGAGAAACCAAGCTTTCCTTCAGAAAGGCCAGTTGGACCGCTTCCCTCTGTTGTCACTCCAGAAGAAAGAAGCAAGGATGATCTTTTTTGATTGGTCTTCTCTGCTAAAAACTAAAAATTAAAAAAATAAAAAAATAGAAATTTGGTTTCAAAGGATTCCAGCTGTGAGCACATGATACTTTTTCAAAGGGAATGGCACTGCTTATCTGACATTTAGGATTTTTCGACATAGTCATTTGACTTTTATCTGAATCTGTAATATTGGCAGAGCAGCTTAAGTGAAATATTAGATTTTTAAAAGTTAATTTTAATTCTAACCATTTGGATACTGTGTGTGATCCTAGCAACAAGGTCCTCAGCAAGGTGGTGTCGGCTAGTGAGGTTTTAAAGAATCACAAATTCTGGGTTTACTAATGGACTTTTAAAAAGTCCAATTAGACTTTAAAATGCAATTGGACTACTTTTAAAGCTTTGAAATATATTCTGACCTTTAGGTAGCTTCCCTGTTATCGTGAGGAAAGCTTCCCGGCTTTCAGAACTGAAAGGGTCACAAGCAGAAAATCCGAAGACAATGGCAAGTGATTAATAATTGCTGGAGGTTCCAACAGAAGATGGGCACATGATTTAATTGCTTGAGGCACTAGAAGAACACACAGTGCTGTAATGATAAATATCAAATGACTGGGCTAAACCTGCTGTGCGATGTAGCTAACCCACCTGCACGTTATACATGAAATAAAAGCAGTAAGAAGATCTGGATGTCATGCAATACAATTCATAGAGCCTAAGTGTCTTCTTTTGGAAAGAATCCTTTATATATATATATATATACATAAAAAGAAAATAAAGCAGAGAAGCCAAGAGGGGCTGGAGTACTGAGTGATGAAGCAAGCCTAAGAAGGCAAAAACCTGATGCAGCTCAAACAACCATTTTTCAGTCTGCCCTCAACCAGATTTTTCTCAGTGTTTCACTGTTACAACCAATGCCTGGGTTGGGAATTTTTGTTTGGTTAACGTCAATAAAAGCTTTGTCCCATCTCTTTAAAGGATACACTAAATTGTTAGCAATTACTGTCTTTAAATAAATAAAAAAATCAGCCTGTGCTGTGAGCAAATATCATCTCATCTATATGCACACTGAAGTACCGTTGAATTCAACTGGAGTTGCATATACACAACAGTGACAGATTATGGCCTCCACAGCTTTTCTATATTTGTACTATACAGTATATGGGCCAGATGCCTCATATCACTCATGTAAATAATCTTACTGAAATGTTCTTCATGCTGCCAACCATTCATTCATCAGACCTTCATTTCTTATCCCTTCCCCTCTTCACAATTTCAAGAGATTTTGTTTGGTTTCAAGGAAATCTTCACATTCAGAGTATTTTTATTGTTGGTATAAATACTGCAAACAGATCCTTTGTCACATTTTATTTCCATTTTTTCAAGGTCATAATATGACTGTATATTCTATTCGTACATCTAAATACAAAAAAAAAAAAAAAAAAAAAAAAATCTCTGTGAGACTTCTATTTTTACTACATTGATTTCTGCCTACTTACAAAGACGTACCATGAAGTGATGCTACTCTGTATTCCACGTGGAAAAATACAGGGATACTCCAATCACTTCAACAGAAACACCTTGAATTCACGATGTTCTTAATTATTTCTCCTGTCACTATGTCAGGAAGAATCATGAAATACTGGAGTGAGATGTGGCATGCAGCATCAAAGATGACTAAGAGGTAATGTACTAACAGTAGTGTCTGGATCACTCAATGCTTCTGTGATATAAATATGAGCAAGCCTACAGGCTTCACTGGGCTTATTACAGGTGACACTCTGTGCACACTCAGGATTTTTCCCAAAATACTTGAGATGAGGTGAGACATAAACTATTGTCTATAAGAATAAAAGTTATAGCCAAGTTTATCTACCGGCTCATTAATAATGCCTTTAAATCCACAGGAAAAAAA